TTTTTTTTTTTTTTTTTTAATTTACCTAAAACCTGCACACACACCCCATTTCTAGGTCCTCCACACTGTGCAGAGTGCAGAGAAGCAAGCCCTGTAGCTAAGGCTGCTCATATGCCACCTCTATGATCACCCGGATCCTTGGGGCTGCTGGAGAAGGCTGTTTCAACAGCTAGCACCCTTTAGAGCAGTCCTGGGCATGGCAGCTTTGCAACTTCCAGGCACTGATGTTTCCTGGGGTCAGGTTAGAGCTGCCCTTAGCCAGGAGTAAGGAGAGTGTTGGGAGCATCTCCCTCTTCCCTAGGATGGCATTGCTCCTGGAAACAGGGCATATGCAGCCGGGTAAAGCGTGTGCGTGTCTTTGTGTAGGGCCCATGTGGCTATTTGGGAGCAAGTTCAGGGAGTGGAAAGATGAGCACTGTCAAACCATTTGCTGCCGGCCCTGGGAATGGTGTTGGGTAGCAGCACGTGTGACGTTCTCATCTCTACTTTACAGGGGCCTCCAGGACCCAGTGGACTCCCAGGTGGAAATGGATTTCAGGGGTCCCCTGTGAGTTCCTCACTCTTTCTTTCCCATTTGTTGATTCTGCTACAGTCCAGGATGTGGAGGGCTTGTTTCTTGTATTTTACTCTGCCCTGAAAGAATAATGTGTCCGACACCCTGCCTGCTCTGTGGAAAGGACGGCAGGAGAGGCACCAATTAGTGTAATGAGTGTGTGCCTGAGCCACGTTCCAGAGCTGCCCAAGGATGCAAACCTGTTGCCCCTTTGTGCCCCAAATCCAGAGGGTGCATAAGACCAGGCACTGCCCCAGCTTCAGGTGTCACCGTCTCTGATGCCACCGGAGCGCCTGCAACCCAAGCGTCCATTCTTTGTGATGAGGGACCGGCATCACCTGCATGAGCATTACTGGGTGTCGTGGTTTGTAAGCAAGGCCTCTCTTCAGCAGACGCCCACAGAATTTGCATTCGTATTTCTTTGTGCTCACAAGTGAATAAGAGGTTGTGGCCCTGAGGGCTGCACAAACACAGGTGCAAATGTGACGTTTCGATGTGCAGAGACAGTGCCGTCCCTGCAGACAGCCAAGCATCTGCAGGAAGAGGAACTCGGGCCTCCTGTAAAGGTGCCTCAGCACTTCAGCTCACTCCAAGTTCAGAATATGCAGCTGCAATTTGCTTCTCCACTCTCATATTTTCATTCCAGTGGTTAATAGGACCAACTAGTTTTCTTCCTCCTTCCCTTATCCGTGTCCTGTGTGATGCCTGCAGTCTGCATTGGTCTCATTGTATTGAAAGCTTCCATCAGTTGGCAGAACAGGGCTTGCTTCTTAAATGGGTTCTTCCCAAGAGAGCGTATGGTGCCTATGGTGTGGAGGGAACTTCTGATTCTTTCTCAATCCTTTTAGGGACCATCTGGTCTTCCAGGACTGCCGGGACCAGCAGGGCCACCAGGACCTCCGGTAAGTGGACATTTCCAGTGTAATAACTGTGAGGACTGAAACTCGGTGCGACTCTGGGATCTTTTTCTGCTGCCTCTGAAGGCCACTGACAGGGCATTTTGCATTTTATTTGAAGCTTGTGTGTTTGCTACAGGCAAAAAGCCCTGAATTTGAGGAAGGCAGTGACTACTTATTGCCTAGGCTAGCGAGGATTTATTTCTGCCTGTTTGCTGTTCAGGTTGCAACAGGAGAGGTGCAATGGCATGTGGATGGAGGGCACACACTAGTCCCCGGAATGAGTTTTCTCTCCCACCTGCCCATAATAAAAGAGGCCATATTTTCATGGGCTCTTCCTTCATCTCTTTTGAAAATATTAGGGCTCTGGCCAGATCTTGTGCCGAGGCCTGTCACCCTCTTGGGACGGGGCTTTTTTAATGCAATAACCCAGGCCAATCATCGCGTGTGCGATACCTGATCCTACGTTCTTGTAGAATTTAGGGTTTGCCTAGGGTCATCGGTGGTAGGGACTGAACCTGGCACCTCCGTACCAAAAAAGGTGGGGCGCTATACCCCGAGCTAAAACATGCAGCACTTTGGAAAGCTTGCTCCTTGCGTCTCCCCCCACAAACAAGAACCATGTGGATGTAGTGGTTAGAGCACATGCCTTTGTCAGGACCCTGGGTTCTCTTCCTCAGCCACTGACTCTCTTGTGGGATCTTTTCAAGATCTAAGTCCATGTTTGGAAGTGGTAAGAGGCTCATTGGTTTTGTACTGGCCCCCAGTGCACGGGTGAATTTGATCCTGTGAGATGTGGGGCAGGCC